ACCAACATTAGAACCGAAGCATTTGGCGATCTCTTGGACTGCTTCATAGAACTCCAATGATGTCTTCCTGTCTACGTGAATAACGTAGAAGTTGTGTGGTCGATGGATGAGACGGAGTAGACTTGCTGACTGATTTAAACTTGTGAATACACTGATACTAAAAGCGAGAGGAAATGCCAGCTCCTCCTGTGTTATTGGCACTTCTTCGGGGAAGAGAGCCCGTTTGAAGGCATTGCAGAGCTGGCCAGAGTTCTTATTGAGGGACAAAAAGTATTTTGTACTGTGCAGTGGCGTCAAACGTTTGAACTCATGGTGGTCTTTGGAGGTGTTGTTGGAAAGGAGGAAAGCGCAACGGCTGGCCTTATTTTTCTCCTCGGGGTAGCTTTCCGTAGGTACTGATTTAGTCACTGATTGTTGAAACCTAGAATTTTTGTGTTTGTTAACGTGAAACCGAAAACACAATAAGATGAAGAGTGTAAGCAGGGTGCCAATTGTGATTTTTAGGCCCACACTCGCCATGTCAATCGCGTGTGATATTGCCACCTGCAGCTTTATAGTGCGTCACATGAATAACGAATTGTTTGCTGCTGAATGGATAGAATTGTCCCCCACCAATGTGACTACGGCTACTGTGCGTGAGTCAGCCTATCGTTGAAGCCTGCAAAGAGATTTTGATGTGCATTCTTCAAAGTATTCCAAGTAAATGACACACACTTGCATTTTCAACGTAGTCCTAAGTCTTTATCATACGGCAAAATTCACCGTCGATCTTCCTATGTCGTCTACTGCAGAAAATTATGATGAAGATTAGAACTACGCTCGCAGCACCAGTGTTGGCAACAATGACGAAGATTGATTTAAATAAGTCATGTGGTATTGCCCTTAGATAGTCCTGTTACTCCAAATAGGCAAACGTGATCAAACGTCTATACCCTCGTTCAGTAAGTAAAAAGTCGATGGCCTATTTAAGAGGAAAAAGAACACCTAATTAGCCTAATAAGAGACAGCTTACAATCCAAAATAATTGCTAATGCAAAAATGACGCTGACCATATGAAAGGACAAAGCACAGAAAGGCAATAAAACGAGCAATAAATGTAAGTAAAAATATTGGCAACAGAACCTACAGATGTTTCCCTGTGAGCTTATAACTGAACCATCACGTCAGGTAGTAGCTACAGAAACTAACCAACGGATGACCACTGAGCAACCTGCGCACGCGTCAGACTTTTTTTCAGATTAAGCATGGTTAAGCATTCTCGACGGAATCCGAACTCCGTGTCAGTGGTCCCGTCGTATTCATCTGAAGTGATGTCTGGTAATCGCATATCCACTTATACTAGTAAATATTCAGATTTGCGACTTTATAAACAAAATTTTGTTTAAAGTTCTTTATACAAAGTATTTCTGTTGAATTACCACTCAGGAGTTGGAAACAAATCAGGTCCGTTTCTATGTTATGGCACTGCAACTCTCATAGTCGTTTCATCTTGTTTCTTTACGTATTAAACGTTTTCTTGACCAAACGAAGATTAATATAGAAATATTCTGAACTGCATTGTTGGACTCCCAATATTTCAGGTGGGACGCAAGTTTAGCGTCAGCCTTAAGTAATGCACGGAAAAGCAGTTCTTCTCCAATTTAAAACGCCCTCTTAATTATGTTCGTGAAGGCTGTTTGTCTTTTTTTATGTTTGTTAATATACTGAAGGAAATTTTTATTCAAGAAAAGGGTTCAGAAAACAGTTTTTGTGAACATAACGCAGATTTGTTTCGTAGCTTTCTAGATATGCTGCGAAAGGTGCAAATGTGTGTTAGTTCCAGTAAAAAAAACATATAAAATTTATTTTCGTATAGCATCTCGTGACGGCCTTATCTTGTCTTCCGAGGTAAAAGTATACGTTGTTTGAAAAAAACTGTGGAAGTGTGAAATTTTTTAGCTGGTCAAATGTTTCGACTGGCGCGATTTGATGCGTGTGACTGGGACTTTTGAGAACAACATAATTGTTGACTAGGATAACGTGTTCAAAGTTGCCGTAACAAGGGCCCTTTAAGGAAGTATTAACAGTTAATGATAGTCGTCTACCAATAGCCGCACTTGGATATGCGTAAACGCAGAAGACCGCAATGGTTTTTTTCTTTAATTTTGCGTCACATATGGAATGAAATCAACCGCAGCTGTACTATAATTGCACTACCGCCGCTGCTTTGGTGCCTTACTAAAAAGATGGGAAGTTTCTGTACACCGTACAGCTTAGAATGAGACGAATTCGTGCTTCATGAAGGGGTGGTACAAATGGTTTAAACATCGAACCCCAAATGTTTACAGTGATATTCGATGGCCAGACATTTTTCTTTTAAACGGCCTCCTTCCCAACTCAAAGGAGACGTATTTTCTTTATTCCTATCTTCTTTTCAGGATCAGCAAAACTCATTATATAATTTTTTAAATCATTCTCTTTACTATTGCCTAGAAGATAAGTGATTATTGTTATCGAAGCATGGTTTGACCTGGAAGATCATGCGAATCAAACAACTAAGCGTTTATTAACATCGTCCTCTCAGTGCCTAATAAACAGCTGTCAGTGGTTGTGATTTTCTTCGACATTATCAAATCTATTGACAAGGTACCGCACAGGCGTATGCTAGTGATACTGGATGCCCTGACTGTCAACCCTCTCTCCTAAACTGCAATGGTTCCTACCTAACCTTCCTCAGCCAAAAGGTCAAATTTTATAAAAACAACTGTAGATTTCTTATCTCATGAAACGTCACCCGAAATTCCGAAATAAGTTTCTGATTGGAACGCACTGACTGCGTATGGTTGTAATAGAGACGCTCATAGAGCTTAATCTCGACATATTTTGGACACCACAGGATGCCTGCTCCTTAAAGAGCTTTTTCTGACCGTCAAAAAGAAGTATGTACTACAAAATTAGCTACTTAATTAGTATGCCTTTTTCTCATTGATTATGACTGTCTTTATAAATGCAAATATATGTTTTTGGAAAACATGCACGAATAATTTTTTAATTAAGTTGGCTTGGCAATTTTGGTTAAATAATTGACCCAATTGTGAAAAAACTCACGGCATTTGGCGGGATTCGAATTCGCATAAGAGGGAGGCCTTTTACGCAAGCCAACGTAAAGGCATAAAAGGCCTCCATCCTATGCAGTTCGAATCCCGCCGAATTCCGTGAATTTTTTTCACAAACGGGTCAATTTAATTAACCAAATCTGTCAAACCAACTTAATAGTTAAGTCAGCCTC